GCCATAGCCCCAAGGGTTTTTCAGTAAGTTTTTACACTTATAGCCTTTCTTAGGTTAAAGGGTTGCTCCATTTATCCATAACTGGATGACTGGCTCCTCGTTGCAAACTCCAAATCTCAGCTGGCATCCCACATTTCCCTTACAGTACACATGTTAGAGTGGTTGGGGGTCCTCATTAATTTTCAAAAGTCCACCCTAACCCCCATTCAAGAAATAGAATTCATAGGAGCAAGACTCAACTATCTCCCACAGAGCATATCTCCCATTGCCCAGAGCCAGGGCCATAGAAAGTTTTGTTTCCACCTTTTCCCATTCAAGATTCCAAAAAGCTATTCATATTCAGAAACTGTTTGGATTAATGTCTTTCACCACATCAGTGATCCAGCATGCGTGATTTCACATGCGTCCCTTACATAATTGGTTTCTGAGACACTTTGAGATGGGGACAGAGCAACAATGGAAAAAACTCTCAGATCCTAGGGGGAATCATTCACTCCTTGTCTTGGTGGTTACGGGATGATAAACTCTTAAGAGGTGTACCTTTGTCTCCTCCTGACCCTGATCTCCATCTATATATAGATGCCTCCTTATGAGGCTGAGGGGCCCATTGTAACTCTGCATATATTAATGGACATTGGAGTGCTGTGGAAGCAACACTTCATATAAATCTGTTAGAAATTAGAGCAGTTAGATCTGCCCTTATTTCTCTTCCAGAGACTGTCTCTGGAAGAGACATGGCCACAAAATTTTATATCAACAAATGAGGAGGGCTCCCTCAGACTATGCAGAGAGGCTTCCCTCCTTTGGGGGGAACACACTATTCAAAACAAAATTTACATCATAGCCTTATATGTACCAGTACAGGACAATACCTTGGCAGACCAACTCAGCAGGGACCGCTACTTGACCCACGAGTGGTCACTGCACATGAGGTATCTCCATCCCATTTTTCATATTTGGAGCTACTCTGATATAGACCTATTCACTTCAGAATTCAACGCAAAGTGCCACATGGTCTGTTCAAGGACTGCCACAACTGACCACTCACTAGGAGATGCATTCTTCCCCTGTTAGTCTCATGCCCTGTACTATGCCTTCCCTCCTTTCCTACTCTTTCAAAGAGTGATGACGAAGCTCAAATCAGACAGGTCAACATGCATTCTAATAGCCCTGCTTTGACCAAGATGGTCATTGTTCCCAATGCTTTGCAGTCTGTCCAAGTGTAGGGTCATTCCTGTCCAAGTGTAGGGTCATTCCTGTACCAGTCCATAGGACAATCTACATTAACACTATGTAGAAATGCTACATCTTCACACATGATACATTTCTCCGTAGATACTGCTCCAGCAGGGTAGCCGAGGTCTTACTCTCCTCACATAAGCCAGCTACATGGAAGTCTTACAATTCTAAATGGAAGCATTTCACTGTTTGGGCAATGGACAGAAAAATAAAACCAGTGTCCTGCCCCTTGGATGAGATTTTTGAATATCTCCTTTTGCTGCTAGACTCAGGGTTACTCACCTCCTTGATAAAAGTTCACCTGGTGGCTATCCGCATTCCATCTTGGTATAGAGTATAGGCCTATATTCTCTAATGCACTTTCTAAAAGGTTTATGAAAGGTTTGTTTAACCTATTAACCTGTTAAACCTCCACTCCCACATTGAAGTTTATCTCTTGAATTATCCCAATTAATTCATAAACCATTTGAACCAATGGCTTCCTGTGAGCTTTCTTCCTTATTCTATAAAACTGCATTCCTTGTCGCAATTACATCTGCACTCATGGTAGGAGAGCTTAGGTCACTAAGTCATGATGCACCTTTCCTTAAGGATAAGATTGTCTTGAGACCCAGCCTTCATGCCTAAAGTGGTCTCTCAATCCCACTTATTCCAGACATAGTTCTTACCGTGTTCTTTCCTAACCCTCAATCCTTAGCAGAACAATCAGTGCACACATTAGACATGAGAAGAGCATTATTGTTTTATTTAGATCATACATCACATTTCTGTAAAGACAAAAATCTCTCCAAACAAGGAGAGAACAATCTCTGCACAAATTGTCTCTAGATGGGTGAAAGCTGCAATTAAAATTTCTTACGAAGCAGCTCATTTGGAATGCCCGTTTCCCCTTAAGGCTCACTCAACCAGAGTGCAAGCCTCTTCTGAAGCATTCTGAGCCACCCTTGACATCATGTAGAACTGCAAACCTATGACTTGGCCCTCTCCATCAATGTTCTTTAAACACTATTCCATTGATGTTGACTCCCAGAGGGATGCGGCTGTGGGAAAAGCAGTGCTGCAGTCACTATTCCGTTAATCGGCCCACACCCACCTTGATGGTAAATCAGCTTGCTAATCTCCCATGTGGGACTGCACAGAAGATACGAAGATGAAAACCTGGATGCACTTACCTGTAACTGATGTTCATCGAGTGTCTTCTGTGCAGGCACACATCCCTCTCTCCTTCCCCACTGTGACTATATTTGGTATTCATAATCTCCACAGTGGCAGAAAGAGGACTGAGGAAAGAATTCTCCCCCCTCCCCTCATCACATGATCATTTGGGCGGGAACAAAGCCTCTGACCCTGCTGTACCAAGGGGAGGGAGAGCACTGAGCTTAAACTTTCTAGAATCTTGTAAAAAATGTCTCTGTAGCAGGCCTGCTTAGACACAGTCCCCTGTGTCCCTGCACAGAAGACACTCGATGAACATCAGTTACAGGTAAGTGTAACCATGTTTAACTGCTATAGACCAGGGTTTGTTTGTTTGTTTTTAATAAAGGGTATTTACCCAGTTAATAAATTCTGAAGGGATGACAGAGGATTGCATCACAGAAACTCCCAATTCATGCCTTCTCTGTATCCAGCAACAGGGCTAGCAAAGGATCGTGCTTTTGTTCTGTATCAGCAATAACAGCAGTCAGGTGTCTTAGATGATTAGCACATTGTCTGCTTGAGATAAAACCTACTTGACTTGGATGAAGGAACATAGGAAACACGTGTTTAAGATGTATTGCAAGTGCTAGTGCAATGATTTTTTCATCAATATTTGTAAACAGTATTGGCCTGTGTCACGGTAGAGCCAGGGAGGCAGGCAGACAGGGGGAGTCACAATACAAGTCCAAAGGTCAGCCGGGAGAGCAGTCAGCAGAGCATTAAACAAGTCCCAAAACACCAGACAAAGCCATAGTCAAACGTTACCAGAGGTCAGAGTACAGGGAGCAAAGCCGAGGGCGTGGTCAGGTTCAAAGCTAGAAGTCAGGAGCCAGAGCAGTCCAAGCACAAGCCGAGTCCAAAAGCCACAGAGTCAAACAGGAATCAAGGTGCAGAGCTTCTGGTTCTACGAACGAGGTTGCCAGCACAAATTGCTCATGGCCAGAGGCCCTACTAAATAGTGATCTGGCCCATTAACTCATTAGCACCTTTGTGCAAGGTCCTGGCTGCTGTTAAAACTCAGGGCTCAAGGATCTCTGCCCTCTGGAACGTGCTTCTTTTCATCAGCTAGCCAGCTCCTGACGTCTCTGATCCCTAAGCCTACTTATAGGTGGGGGAGATGCAGGTGGTGAGCTGCTTATGGCCTGCTCAATCCCAGGTGCAAACCATCCTGTAGTTGACTCAGATTGCTGTGTATCCTCCTCAGTACTTACAGTAGGTGCAGATCCTGATGCTTCTTCAGTTCTTAAAGGCACTGAATCCTTTCCTCTTAGACTTTCAGGAGCTGGCTCTGGGGCTGAGTCAAGGGCAGGTATGACAGCCTGTAGGTAGAGCAGAATTGGGCAGAACTGTAAATGTTTCATATATAAGCTTTGGCAGAACAACAGAATCTTGTGCATCTCCTACAATCCAAACCATGAGGGGTACCAATTCTCTACTGAGGGCCTTATACCATTTCACAGGATACCCATCTGGCCCTGAAGCCTTAGTACTTTTCCTATTTGTGATTGTTGCTGCAGTCTCTGGATCTGTTAGAGGAGCTGCCAGAATTACCTTAAGTTGCTAGTTTAAAGCTGGTGGGTGTATCTTGCTCAGCAACTTTGAAACAGCCTCTGCAGAAGATGCAAGGTCTGTAGAAAAAAAGATGAATAAAACTTTCTGAATTAACCATTAACTGAGTTGGGAGTGACCAAGCAGACAGTACTTCTGAAAATGCTACTTGTACCCTCCTGTCTGGCAGCATCAATTTTTCTTTGCAGACCACATGACTGCTATTCCCAATACCAATCATGCCAGTGTGCACCATTACCACTCTTGCACTTTCTACCACCCTGTCTAGAGAAGGTATCATTTGTGCAACCTTTGCACCAGTCAGGCAAGTCAATGCTAGTGAAAACACCTGCTGGAGGAAGCTTCAACCCAGGTTTACATTTATTTACATACATTCTTAAGATGTTAGAAAATGTAGAAGATAATCAGAAACTCCATCAGCTTTTATACTGCACAGTATCATGGAAAGTGGACATTGTGGGTAGATTTCAAAAACATGGAGCTTTTCCAAAGGTACCCTCTATGCAACCCTAAGTTCCATGTATGAATGTTACACCCATTTGCCAGGGTGACATAAGAATGGGATGCAGAAAGAGATTTTGCGGTTGCTGAATCATTTTCACCTAGGACTTGACAGAAACAAAACATGCATAGAATATATGAAAGCATATTTATGAGGAAGAAATTAAATTCTGTCCTGTCCGATTTATAAGTGAGAAATAGTGAACTAGGTAAATCCCTCAAACTTTTTTAATAATAGATTTCTCCAGTTTTCTTTCCATTTCTTCATTAAACAGATATTTTTAATCTGAGGGATTAACTTGTAGCATTTTATGAAGTAAGAATTGAATAAACTTTTGCCATTTCTCTGTTGCAATAACTATAACATATTTATTCCCAGAGCACTGTACTTACTAAAAGATATTAATATTAATACCCTGGGATCTCTGCTTAGTGTGTTAGGCATGCAGTTGTCACTGTGGTTAATTGATGACTACCCATTCTGTCCTCAACAGCACAGCCCATTCTTTGCTGAACAGTTAACGGCATTCCAGGTGTGGCTGACGATGGGAGTAGAAAACCGCAACCCACCTGAACAGCTTCCCATTGTATTGCAGGTGAGTCACCTTGACAGATGATCAGATTTCTAACTTAGCTGAGATTCTTGAAACATGTGGACAGTGCACTGGCAGCGAACCTGTTCTGTATGTGTGTATTTAAGGGCATGTCTTTCTCCAACTGCTTTGTTCTCTGGCAGATGGTGTTTGGGTAAATAAATTACATGGACTGTGTTCAAGACTAATTGGAGCTTATTGTTTGTTAGGCCTTTGCTGATAAAGACACATTGCTTACAAACATATCCCTTCCCCCACAGCTAAACATAAATTGAGGTTGTAGCTATTAGCCAGTACTGCAGAATTTAACTCTTTCTCTTGTCTGTTCCATCTCTTTATCATCAAAGCTCTTACACACAGCAGTTATCTTGCTTTATGTCATTGGTTAGGAGCATGCCATACCTCTGTGTTTTCATATGCAAATGAACATGAAGAGCCTTTGGGTCTTTCTTTTTGCTGTTCCGCTTATTGTTTCACCAATGTACAGTCTCAGTACCTGGTTGTTACATCGCTTCAGGTCTCCATGCTCATCTTCCTCAATCAGCCAGCAGCCAAGGGGCTCTCCATCCCTTTTGCCCTTGTCTCAGTCCAACAGATGCTTCCCCAGCAGATTCATCTCTGTTATCCTCCTTCCTCCCCCCCCCTGCATACACCATCAGGCTTTCTACCTGGCCCTCCTTTCTAAATTCCACCAGCATACAGGTTAAAACTTGGACAGACCCAGACACTACTGGGGCAGGGGAATCTCCCTAGGCACTATCGGGGTGACGTCAGGTCCATAAAGGACAGGGCCCGTGGCAGCCAATGCCAGTCACAATGGAGCTGTTGCCCAGTTGGAGCTGCCTCTTCAGACCTCATCCGGGGGATCAGCAGGCACACTCCCCCCCCTTACAGAAATCAAGGGGAGCCATCCCTCAGAGTCACCCTGGCCACGGTCATCCTCTTTCACTGTTGCTAGTTTATTTATTCATGTATCTAAAACATTTATGTCCTGGTTCTCAATAAAATATTGTCAGGGCAGCGAGCAAAAATTCATGTAAAACCATAAATCAGTAAATGAACACAGTACAATAGCATTGAAAACAAGCAGCACAAAAACCCTTGTCAAAGCTTACCAGCAGATAAATAAAACTCAAACTGCAGAACAGCAGGCCATTCATACTAAGAACTGAAGACTAAAACTCTATAATCTGAAAAGTAATCTTCTAATATTAATGAGTTGAAAGCTAAAAACCAGCAACATAAGAGAGAGACAAAATTCATTAAAGGGAAGCTTGGACAAATAAAGGACAGTAAATTTGGCAACAGGTGAATTTCTTAATTTAGCTGCCATGAAAGAGAAGGCTCTGTCCCTGATGCTCACCCAACTAGCGCCTGACATTGGAAGCACACAAAGCAGAGCCTCTGAGAATGGCTAACCTGTAGACAGGTACATATGGGCAAATACTTCTTTTAAGTAGCCAGATGCCAAGTTGTGGCATTGTGTCCAAAAAATAACACGAAGCCAGTGACGAACTTTTAAGACTAGCAAGATAATTCAAACCTGTCAGCAACCTTGCTGCCTCATTTTGAACTAGTCAAAATTTCTAAACAGTCTTCAAAGACAAGCCTCATATAGAGTGCATTATAGTAGCAGAAGCTAGATTTAATAACTGCATGGATAACTGTGGCCAAACCAAACCTTTTGAGGAAAGTCTGCACCTGATACACCAGTTTAATATGAAAGGTGCTATATGCCACAAAGATGTGACTTTCATCTGAAACCCTGGATGTAATAGCAAGCCCAAGTTGCTCACCAGCTCCTTATTGAATTAATATAACCCCTTTTAGAACAGACCAGCTCCTCAGACCAGTGAGCTTTCCTATCAACCAATTTTTCTAATAGTTCCTTTTATGGCCTCTTATCTTAAGGGCTGTTTTATGGATAACGCTTTAAGCTGCCAAATATTGTTTTATGCTGTTTTTATGCCTCTGGTGGGCTCATCTTTTATGGCTTGTTTTAATATTAATAATTTTATGTTGTTTTAATGTTTTATTGCTGTGTTTTTAGTTTGTGAGCCACATCAAGCAGGTCTCTGGGGAGGTGACAAACATTTTCTAAATAAATGAACAGCACTTCAGCCTTGTCTGGATTGAGTTTGAATATGTTGTTGTTCAGTCGCACAGTCGAGTCCGACTCTTCGTGACCCCATGGACCACATCATGCCAGTCCTTCCTGCCTTCCGCTGTCCTCTGGAGTTTGCTTAATTTTATGTTCGTTTCATCAGTAACCCAGTCTAACCATCTCATCCTTTGCCATCCCCTTCTTCTTTGACCTTCAATCTTTCCCAGCATCAGGGTCTTCTCCAGTGAGTGCTCCCTTCTCATTTGGTGGCCGAAGTACCTGGCCTTCCAGGAAACAGTCAGGGTTGATTTCATTTCGGATTGACTGATTTGATCTTGCAGTCCAAGGGACTCTCGAGAGTCTTCTCCAGCACCATAATTTGAAAGCATCTGTTCTTTGGCCCTTATTCAGCCCATTACCAACTTTAGACAATGGTTTGGAACATCAGCTATGCTACGTGACTCAATTGCAAAGGAGAAATAGAGTTGGGTATCATCCACATGTTGGTGACATTTCAATCCAAACCTATGGACAATCTTTTCCAGCAGTTTCATGTAAATATTAAATGCTGTTGGGGACTAAATAGTACTCTGTAGAAACCGATATTTTAAATGCCATGGAGCTGAGTAGTTGTTCCCCAGAACCACATTCTGGAACTGATCATTAAGATATAAGCACAAGAACAGCACCCTGATAGCCATCTCAATTAGCCAGTCAACAAGGATAATGTTGATTTATTTATTTATTTATTTATTAAATTTCTATCCCGTCCTCCCCTCAAGTAGGCCCAGGGCGGGTCACATCAATCTCAATACAATACAATTAAAACAACTTTAAAATAGAATAGAAACATAAAATATCGTGTAAAAAAATTGGATCAGATGTCAGTTTCGATGTCAGTCAGATTAATCCAATCCAGTCATTTATTACGGCAAAGCCAGCAACAATATCAATTCACAATAGCCAGTGAATTAGTGAAAAAATAAAATAAAATCTGAGATATAGAAAAAGAAAAAATATATATAAAAACTCAGATTAAGATACAACAGTGGGTACCCCGATGTCTATTTGGATACAGGCCACTGATGGGAGATTGGCCAGGGGAGGGGGGGACGTCCACCACCTCAACCAAAAGCTCGGTGGAAGAGCTCTGTGTTGCAGGCCCTGCGGAACTGTAATAGATCCCACATGGCCCTGATCTCATACAGAGCTCATTCCACCAGGTAAGGGCCAGGGCCAAAAAGGTTGAGGCTAGTCAGACATCCCTGGGGCCGAGGACTACCAAAAGATGTTGATTTGTGGACCTCAATGACCTACAGGGCTCATATGGGGAGAGGTCCCCATATGGCCCCTGGCCATATAGGGCTTTAAAGGTAAGCACCAGCACCTTCCAACAGATCTGGAATTCAATAGGCAGCCAGTGCAGCTCACGCCACACTGGGTGGATACGAGCCCGCACACGTGTCGCCGTCAGCACCTGTGCTGCTGCGTTCTGCACTATCTGCAACTTACGGAGCAGAGAGAAGGGCAGCCCCACATAAAAATAGTCCAGTCTGGAAGTGACCATTGCATGGGTCATTGTAGCCAGGTCCCGGGGGGTGAGGTATGGGGCCAACTGCCTGATCTGTCTCAAATGAAAAAAGGCAGACCTGGCAGTGGCGGTGACCTGGGCCTCTGTAGAAAGGGTGGCATCCAGAAACAACCCCAGACTCTTCACCCTCAACATTGGCACCAATAGAGCCAATATTGAGGTTGGGAGCCTGATTCCCTGACTCAGTCCCCCGTGACTCAGGTGCAGGACCTTCATCTTAGGTAAATTTAACTTCAGCCGGCTCTGTTGCAGCCATCCAGCCACAGCTTGTAACACCTCGTCCAGATCTCCTGGGGCTGTTTCCAGGCGGCCATCCATCAGTAGAGTTGGGTGTCATCCTCATACTGGTGACAACCCAGCCCATACCTCTGGATAATCTGGGCGAGGGGACACATATAGATATTAAACAACATGGGGGGAGAATTGCTTCCTGCAGCACACTACATTCCAGTGGGTGCCACTGGGATAACTCCCCCCCCCCAAGCGCCATCCTCTGTCCCCGATCCTGGAGAAAGGAGGTCAGCCACTGCAAGGCAAGCTCCCTGCAAGGATGACTGTATATGAAAAGATCCAGAAGCAGTGTTCCCTCTTAGCTGAATTAGTGAGCTTTTTTTAGCCTCCAGCTCACACATTCTTGTTTTAGCTCAGGAAGGATGGCTCCAGAGCAAACTAATTTATGCAGTAGCCAAATCGCTCGCTCACAACTTTAATACCAGTAGCTCACAAAGTAGAATTTTTGCACGCAGCTTAGAGGGAGCATTGTCCAGAAGTATCAACACTTACCCCTCCCCATCTCTCTCTCCTAACCAAAGTTATCAGTGAGGTCAACCAAGACAGCTTCAGTTCCAAAACCGAACTGAAAGCTGGATTGAAATAGATGCACATAATCTGTGTCCTTCAAGAAAGCCTAGTGTTGCCCAGCCACCCCGAACCTGAACACCTTTACCTCAAAGGGTCTATTGGCAATTTACTTATAGTTTTCTGGGACCAAGGTGGCTTTCTTAAGGAGTGCTCTCACAACCACTTACATCAAAGTGGATGGCACAGCTCCCTCCCTAAGATCCAGCCAGTCTATCCCCTTTGGATACATACAATAAGCTATAATATACTAGGTTTTAGCACTGAAGTGGTAGCTTGGCAGGCTGTTGTAGGACATCTAGAAATGATCAGGTCAACTGTCCGGTTATCTCAGGATACCTGAGACTGATCAAACTATTGACAGACGTATCCTCCATATCATTCCAAAATTCCCCAAGGGCCAACAGGAGTCCATCTTGATCCAGTCTCTGAGAGTGGACCACCTCAATG